ATTTTAGCAGCTCTGATTGTTTACTTTTGTAATAAATCATTACAAAGACTATAGACCACAGTAAGAAGGGGTGGGGCGAAATCCACAACTGCTTTAGTTTCTGGTGGTGACATTAGCACCTGATGCTAAGAGGGATTGTGAGTTCCTCACCTGATTAAGGTGCCCCCAACAGGGACTGCTCATCATTAGAGCCCCATATTCTGCCAAGTACCATCCTAAGTGCAGTGTTTGACTGACCTAGTGCTAAGTCCCCTTGTATTTCCCACTAAGTTCAGAATGAATTTACACCCAGGCCAAAGTAGCAAACACACTGGCAGGCAGAGGAAGCAATGTGCTGCTAAGCCTCCACCTCCTTCCACATCCAACTACTCCTCCCTGAACACAACAGAGCATGAACAATCCTACACGCCCATAGATATCGCTTGTTTACTGCCGTCAACAGTGGAAAGGGAGAGCCTGGAATTTTGGCCACGGGTGGCACGTGCAGCCAGCCTCCTCCGCTGGGAGCCGGTTACCCCACAGGCAAGCTAGGCATGTGGCTGGGACACCAACAAAGCAGGGAGACCTCAAAGAGGCTTATTGAAAGAACATGCATTTTGGAAAAATCTAAGTGTTTGTAAGAAAAGTCAGAATCTTGTTGGACTTGTTATCCTTACTGTACTATGAAGTGCACAAAAGTTCTTTAAGGAAGGGAGAACTCTCTTCGGGCTTAAAGCCTCTGGCTCCCCTGCCTGTCTAGGGTACCATACATATCCCAAACAGACAATGCTTGATCCTGGGCCTCCCACTAGAGAAGCAGAGACCAGGGGATGCCAAGGGAGCCCAAGGCAGTACTGTCCCCACAAAGCACCAGGAAAGCACCTTGGCTGGAAAGAGCCTGTGAGCTCTGCTTAACCAATGCAGCAGAAATGCATTTGCTTGGTTTTCACAATGCTTTAAAAGTGGAAAAGTTTCAGCCCTCCCTGGTGGCACAGAGGGCTAAAACACAGCACTGCAAGAAAGCCACAGTCACTTCAGTGCAAGTTTGATCCCCAGCCCTGGAAGTGATTCACATGGTGCGGCAGACCTCTCCTGTCTTGCCCACTGCCCCCTCAGCACTGAACTTTGTCCATCTGCCTGTTCTGCTCTGGTGAATCCTCTGGCCTGTACCTCATGTCTGTATGAATAAAGACTTTTTTTTTAATTATTAAAAAATAGAAAAGTTTCACATTTTCTGATTCTCTTGAACAATGGAACACTAGGGACTGAACTCCAAAGTGCTGCCAAGCCAAAACTGAGTGTAAGGAATGCATTCTAGGCTCTAGGCTTCTGGAGACCCCACCTCCACCTTGGCTTCAGGTGACACCTTCACTAATTGGTGGAAACTGGCTGATTCCTGCCAGGTAGAGGTTTGAGTGTGAGACCCTTTGATCCCCAATGAAATTGCAAATTTGTAGCAAAAGAAAATATTTGCCGGTGTTAAGGATCTAATTTTCATATCATTATGACCCAGAGTCCTGACAGCTGCTTTTCTGGGCAGAAAGATTCAGAGTTTGTGAGCTCCAAGTTCTTTGGAGGGGAGGGTGGGTGGATGCAGGCAGTTGCTGACCATCAGAGGGAAGACTAGCCTGAACTGGAAACAGAATATTCAAGTTCACAGTGAGCTGTCCATCAGGAGTGTGCCTGCTTCACTTCCCTTCCCCTTAAGGACCTGGGCGTGATTCTACTGTATTTCCCACTGGTGGCATGGAGCTGATCTCAGGAAAGCAATTTGCTGGAAGAAAATTTTTACTTTAACCTGGCACAGGATACCCTTCCCGGGATGTTAAATCAAAGATGTTGGACTACCTGGCTGAACTTATAGAAAAATCCTCATGCTGACAGGCCACCAGGCACTTCAGGCAATGGGTCCAGCCCAAAATGTACATTTCCTACCAAGGAAGAATCTACAAGGACCTGGTGGTGCCCACAGGGAAGCCATCTTGTCGTGCCCTCTGATTATATCATAGACTAAAAGCCAAAATAGCCTCAAGGTCTCAACCATCCATTCTTTGGCCTTTTGCATTAAAACAAAACAACAACAAAAGGTAGGCCCTCCCTGGTGGCACAGCACTATGAAGCCAGTGGCAGCAGCTTCAGAACAAGTTCAATCCCAGGCCAGGGAGGTGATCCACATGGGTCATCTGACAGACCTCTCCTGACACACCTGCTGCTCCCCTCAGCAGTGTACTTCATCTATCTGTTCTGCTCCCCACTCTGTCTCTAGTGACTACTCTTTCCAGTGAATCCTCCTAAATCTCTGGCCTGTACCCTAGTTCTGAATGCATAAATAAATCTTTTTTTTTAAAATGACGTTGAAAGCTTTCAACATCTTTAAAATGGTCATGATTAGCTAAAATGTTTGAGAATGAGGTGGGGAGAAATCTAAGTACCCAAGAGCCCATAAAATTCTTTCTAAACCAAACCATCAATTTTGCTGTGTCCTCTGCCCCATCTGCTCATGTTTTCTTATTTCCAAGTATGTTCTTTATCACCCAAGTTATATTTGTTGATTAAAACTGTATAGAGCTATATATGATAGCAAGGAAACCTGTTGGATCACATTACTCAACACAGTCTCCCAGGTTGCAGGAAAACAAAAAGGTGCCTCCTTGGGAATCCCCGGACCTTGGGACAGGTCAGCAAGGCTCAGCACCTCCACACTTCAGAAGAGCATGTGACAAATCAGGGACTGCCTGGGTCTGACTCTTACCACTAGGTGTCACATTCAACAACCAGGACTAAAGATCACTGCATCTTGAAAGCCATCAAAATCAAAAACCATCAAAAGAGATACAAAGAACCTTATCCCCAACATACGTCTTATTTATGCATAATTTTCATTCTAATGACCATTTTAAACCTACAAATAAAAAACTGCTTCTAAAGTATCCTTTTTCTAAGACGTATTTTGACTTAAAAAAAATCCCCACATAGGGGAACACCTACCCTATTTTTACCTAACAATTGGAATACAGGATACTTTGATTATCTTCCAAATTATAGTGTATTCAGTCTCATTTTCACAATGTGTTTTCAAAAGGGCTAATGCTATGACTGCTTTGGTCAAATGATTACTACGTTGGACTAGAGATTACATAAACTCCTATTGGGTATCTAGGTAAATTTCTCTGCACTTCAGTTTCTTTTTAGGAAAGTAGGGACAATACCTATCTTTCAAGCTTAGTTCTGAGAACAATGTGTTGCATAAAATGTTGGAGTCCTTCCAAATATTTTTACTGTGATTATTTCCAAGAGCTATGGTCACTAGAGTTTGACATACATATAAGGCCAAGTTATACAGTTTTTAAACTGGAGGGGCACGGGCGGGAAGGGATTAAATGTGATATTGTTTAAGTAGGAAAAAGTTCATCAGTCTCTCCAATAATACAGTTAGTTGCAGGTAGAGCAGGGAATTGAGATCTTCTTGTTCCAATAACGGAATAACATACCTGCAGAGACAATGGAATCTAGCCCTGGAAAGCTATTTTATTTCTCGATTTTACTTTTTTTTAATTCTCATATTTTGTCTCATTCCCATTTACCCAAATTCCTTACATTCAGAGTGGGGGGGGGTGAGATGACAAGAGTTAATTAGTACATGACCTCTCAATGTAGAAATGATTGCAATAGTTCCCAAAGTCTCAGCAAAGATCCAGAGTCCTCCTGGGGCTGATTGAGAATACTTCTGATCAAAGGTGCTTTACTTCACTTGGGCCAATTTTAGAAGTAGATGAATGAGTACAACCCATGGCCTGCTAGAAAGATGGAATGGAGAGATGTAAATTCTCACTATGTGGGTGAAAACAGGATGGACCCTGGAGTAGCTAGCTATCTGCTTTGCATGGAGAGACCCAAAGGCTGCCCGCCCCCAGGCCACGGGAACCATGAGTCTGCAGACCGGATGGGGCAATGTCAGGGCCCCTGGAGACTCCTGCAGAAGGATGCTTAGTAGCTATTTCCCCATCATCCTTAAGGCTCCATTTCAGGTAAGGCACTGCTCAGCTCATTCTTCAGCCTCTTTCTCCATATACTTTTGAAAGTCACTCAGGTGGGCCCTCAGAAGTAGGCTCAGAATCTATTCTCTCTCTCTCTGCAGCACACCCAAAAATCAGGGAACATCTTATTTTGGTATTGCAAAGTATGCGCAACCTCACTTCCAAGGTTAACTCCTCACTTTACTTGGGAAATGGTTTGGTCCCTTTAGCCTCTCCTCCCCCCATGGCCACTACAATATAGGTAGAACAGAGTGTTTCCCCCTCCCCCAGTCAACACGATTGTTCAACCTGAGGAAATGATTTGAGGGTTCTCCAAGCCATTTTGGCTTTTAACCCCAATGCTTTCACAATTTCCACTTCACTGAAGGGGGGGGGGGGAAGGGACTGCTACGCGTCCTTCCTTGCCCTGCAAAGAGCCTGGTATTGTCAGGAACTCAGGAAACCCACGACCTTCTAAACCACCTGTGCGTCCTTCCCTGAAGAGAAGTCTGGGGAAGCGAACTCCTGCACCAGCCACCATTGCCATCATTTCCACTCGCATTTTCAAATCACCAAAAACCGGAAAGGACCGGCAGGTTGGCAAACCCCGACAAGCCGCCCAGCAAGTCTGCGCCCTTAGGATCTCAGCAGCCGGCGACCCTAAAATCAAATCGATCGTGGGAAACCCCAGGGAAAGGAGTTTTCTGCAGAGGGACAGGATTACTGAGTGCAGGCTGCAGGGAAGTACCGGGGGAGGGGGCCTTGTCGGGAGGACTTTCCAGCCACTCAGCGTTCATCAAAAAGTTCCCTGTACATGACCCCAGTGGCTCATCGCAGGGAGTTTCTCTGACGAACCCCGGCTCAGAGTTTAGACTTCATTTTCCCCCGAGCAAAGAACCAGGCCAGTTCTCTTTTCTGGTCTGACTGGCTTGGAAATTCCCCGCGCCTAACCCCGCCCAGGAGAAATCCCCTGCCAGCGTTTATAGCGAGCCGCGGCGGCGCTGCCGAGCCCACAACAGCCCGACCTGCAGTCCTGCCCTCCGCTACACGGCGACCAGCGAGCGCCGCCGGCAGCCGAGCGCACCAGCCAGCAGCGCCTGAGCTTTCCCCGCGCCATGTTTCAGGCCGCAGAGTTCGCCCAGGACTGGGCCATGGAGCTTCCCCGGGACGCGCTCAAGAAGGAGCGGGTGCTGGACGACCGCCACGACAGCGGCCTGGACTCCATGAAGGACGAGGAATACGAACAGATGGTGAAGGAACTGAAAGAGATCCGTCTCGAGCCGCAGGAGGCGCCGCGGGGCGCGGAGCCCTGGAAACAGCAGCTCACCGAGGACGGAGACTCGTAAGTGCGACTGGCCGGGGCGGCGGGCTGGGGGGAGCCGCGCTGCAGCCGGAGCCGCGGGGCCTGGGATGCTGCAGGACCAGCGCCCCGACGCCGGCCGGGGGCTTATGCATGGCCCCCCCACGCGGTGCAAAGCAGGGTGGCAGCCCGGGCAGCAGGGGACTCAGGCTCGTTCTCGGGGCCGGGTGCAGCCGTGCCGCCTTGCACACACCCCCACCCCTGTCCCGGTCCTCTCAGCTGGGGGCGGGGCGGCGGCGGGGACACGAAGTCCCCGCTTGCATAAGGGGGGCGGGAGTTTCTGCCTGGCTGGCGGGCGCCGCGCGGCCGGGAGGGGAAGTACAGGGCGTTCCGGCCGGCAGGAGGGCGGGGCGGTCTGGCCGGCGCCCGCCGGGGAAGGGGGGGGCCCGGAAAGTCCCTGGGCGCCTGCCAGGAACAGTCAGCTCATAATAACCTCGCGGAAAACACCGCGGCCTCGGCCTCCAGAAACCCCGGCCTTGCGCAATCCCCCGCAGTCCGCGCCTCCCAGGGCCCCACGCAGCGCACTCACCAGCCCTGGGGGTTTTTCCCTCTTTCCCCTCAGGTTCTTGCACTTGGCCATCATCCACGAAGAGAAAGCACTGACCATGGAAGTGGTCCGCCAAGTAAAGGGAGACCTGGCTTTTATCAACGTCCAGAATAACCTGCAGCAGGTGCGTGGCGTGCCCAGCCCCCTGGGTCTCTGACGCCCGCCCGCCCCTCCAGGCGAGGCAGCCGGGATCTATATAGCCAGTTGGCCCTAATTCTTGCAAAATTAACAGTGACCTTTGACATGCGAATCAGCCAATCGGAATAAAGAAAATTCCCCTGGTTTGATGAGCCTGTGTGGCCCACCTGGGGCCCCTGGTGGGGCCTGTGGGAGGGGCAGTACTCACACCTGGGGAACCCAACTGTGGGTTTGATCGGTGGCTTATCTCCTCTGTTCCCTCTTATGTCTGTAGACTCCACTTCACTTGGCTGTGATCACCAACCAGCCAGAAATTGCTGAGGCACTCCTGGAAGCTGGCTCTGATCCTGAGCTCCGAGACTTTCGAGGAAATACCCCTCTACACCTTGCGTGTGAGCAGGGCTGCCTGGCCAGTGTGGGAGTTCTGACGCAGGCCTGTGGCGCCCAGCACCTCCAGTCCATCCTGCAGGCCACCAACTACAACGGTAAGTCTGCTGCCCTCCCTGCTATCAGGGGGAAGGTTGGGCCAATTTAACGCAAGCAGGCAGGAGTCAGAGCTTGAGAAAATATGTATGCAGAAGGCCTCTTTGATGTCTTTGCAAAGTTCATTCACAACCCAGATTTTTGGTTCTTCAAACTCAGAAGAATTTGCCTCCTAGAATAGTGAAGGGTTCTGCTTGAGATGTGAGGCTGGCACAAGTGTTTATGCATTCTTCTTTTTGTGTTTCTAGGCCACACATGTCTGCATTTAGCCTCTATCCACGGCTACCTGGGCATTGTGGAGCTTTTGGTGTCCTTGGGTGCTGATGTCAATGCTCAGGTGAGTGCTTTATACCTCCAAGTGGATGGCTTTAGGCTCCAAGGCCCTCCTCAATAAGACTGCACCTGTTTCCTCTCACAAGTAGAAATTCCAAACTTAACCTTGAGCATTTCAAATGTCTCTTGGTTTCAGGAACCCTGTAATGGCCGAACTGCACTCCATCTCGCCGTGGACTTGCAAAATCCCGACCTGGTGTCCCTGCTGTTGAAGTGTGGGGCTGATGTCAACAGAGTCACCTACCAGGGCTACTCCCCGTACCAACTCACCTGGGGCCGCCCAAGCACTTGGATACAGCAGCAGCTGGGCCAGCTGACCCTAGCAAACCTTCAGAGGCTGCCAGAGAGTGAGGATGAGGAGAGCTATGACACGGAGTCAGAGTTCACGGAGGACGAGGTGAGTCTCCATCAACTTCTCACTCTGCACAAAGGAAACAAGCCTTGCCATTCTCCTTCCACCCTCCAGGGACCCTCCATAGCTACTCTTCATGCACAGTCCCAACACAGTTGTGCATAATCTGGATCCCAACTGTGCGCCTTTTCTGTTTTGCCCTTTTTGAAGGAGAGAAACATTAAAGGAAAACCCCTACCCTATGAGGTTGATTTATATCTGGGTTGTAGAGAGAGAAGTCTAAGTTATGTCCAATAGCAGCTCCTCACCAAGACCCCAGCACTTTGACAAAGCTCTAGAGGTTTAACATGCTTTTTTCCTTCTTGTTTTCAGCTGCCCTATGATGACTGTGTGCTTGGAGGCCAGCGTGTGACGTTATGAGCTTTCAAAAATGACTGAAAGAACATGGACTTGTATATGTGTAAAAAAAAAAAAAATTTATTTTTCTAAAAAAAGGAAAAAAGAAAAAAAAAATCAAAAGGGTGCATTCACAACCACACTGTGCACTGCCTGACCAGAGAGACATTTGACTGGTGGATTGGCTGTCATCTTGTGATCTTTGTGAACTTTGGAAGGGGGACAAGAAAGGTCATTGGAGTTTTTTTAAGCTTCACCTTTATGAGGCTTTTGAAGAAAGGTATCCAGAGTTTAATGTAAGGACTATGTTTAATTTATTGTGCTTTTCAATTGGCCCACCATGGACTTGATGGCTGAGAGCCACTTGTGGCCTGTGACTAGTAACAGTCAGGTGTGTTGTTAAAGCTTTCAGTGGTTTTACCCTCTTGTAAATGGTGTACATGTGTATTTTGTTGGTAATTATTTTGTTACTTTAAGATGTATATTTATTAAACAGATTTTTACAGATTTATCCAGATCATTTTCTTCGGGCTGTAGTGGGACTCTGTTCTGAGAGACATTTCACTCCTTAGATGAAGATGGAGAATTGTGTAGGAGCTTTATCACAGCCAGCCACAGAACCTTTCAGAAATTAGCTTTTCACTGCAGGCACCAGCCTCCCCACCACACTTCTTTCTCACAGGCAGCCCTGGGGCCCCATGTGTGGGTGTGGGGAGGAGGAGAAGGCTGTTGCAAGATAATAGGAAACCCTGTCTCTGGCTTGGAGTAACAGGAAGCTGACTGGCCTTTGACTGGAAGGTTCTCCTTTGTCATTTGCTTTCAACCCCTTGATTTAAGCTAGTCCAAGACCCTGACTTCCATTTTAGGATAAACTTTTGACCAAAAGGTGTATGCTGACTTCCCTCCCACATTTCAAGTTGCTAAGGACATGGATGCAGGAATGGGACTGCACTAGTATTTATTAGGCAAGTACCTGTGAGCCTTAGTTTCTTCATTGGTAAACTGGCTTTCTGTGAAGGAGCCAAGATAATCAACATAAAAAGCAAAACATAGCAAAGTGCCAGGCACATAGTGCTAAAGATTCTGTATTTCACATGGGAAGAAACCAGGCCTAGAGAGAATGTTCTAGCCAGGGTCACCTTGCAGGAGCAGGCCTAGAGAGAATGTTCTAGCCAGGATCACCTTGCAGGAGAGGCAGGTAGTTAACTCATTTAATACACTCTTGTTTTCAGGTGTTTTATTTTAAAATACGTTCCATCTCTAAGCCCATTGTAACCAGCTACAGTATAAACGTGGGTTTAAAAAGATCCTTAAAATCTTCATCTGCTCAGTCTACTACTTCTATTGGTGACTTCAGAGAAGTGGAATATTTAAAAAGAAGCTTGTATTTACATGCTCTGTGTCAACTTTTACACTAAAATCTATCTCCAGTATAGTGAAGCTTATAGCATCCTATCAAACATAGAATGGTGTATAAATATAATTCCTGTACTTGGGCTTACACCTAAGAAAGCATTACTATTACAATATATTATCCCTTCCATCATTTTTTGACACATATGATGTCAAAGTCCAGTGAATAGGATCACCTTCCTCTCAGACGAAAAGTGGCTCTTTCCTATATAGTAGACTGGGCTGGTCAAAATCAGCTCTGTTCCCTCCCCTCCAGCTCCCCTCCTGTTGCTGAGCACTGTGGTAACCTCTACCAGTCTTGCCTTCTCTTAAAGGGCTCCCCGCCCGTGACAAAAACTCCTTGTCTAGCCCACCACTCCTGAACACAGGTGTTAATGACCTAGCACTCAAACATCCACAGTTCTGCTCAGCTGACAAGTAGAAGACACAGAAGGGGGAGGAGTGGGATATCCACTTCATACTCAAGAGAACAAAGATTGGAAACTTGGCTCCCAATTTTGGAATGATGCTCTTGCCTCTCAGAGGTGCCCCTTTTTCTACTTACAATGGTGCTGAATTAAAGCCAAGTCACACCGGAGGCTAGGAAAAAGTACCAGAAGATATGGCCCAGTCTTCCTTAAACTCCTCAGTGACCGACCTTATGACCAGGCTTCGCCTTCCCTGTAGACTTCAGCTTTTCTTCTCTTCAGGACCCCAACACTCAGGGTGGCGTCTATCTGCATAAATCCAGAGGTAGCTGGGCCCCATTAAGGACTGAGGTCAGTCCCATTTTTTTTTTTTTTTTTTTTACTTTCTGACACATCCTGTCTATCTCCTTTTTTCTTTTTAAATATTCATATTCTCTCCTTTGTGTTACTTTTTTGAGTGGCTAGAGCCTGGCATTCCCCAAAGAAAAATTTTAGAACTGAAGCATTCGAATCTGTAGAAAGCCTCTCTCAAATTTCTAGCCAAACAAGAACAAAAGCTTTCAAAGAAACCAATTCAGCCTTCTGAGACCCTCTTACGCACTTTGGTTTTTTCCAAGAAGCTAAAGATTCAATCAGGACAGGTAGAAGTAAGGGAGCTTTGGGAAAGAGGGAAGTTACATGAAGGAAATGGTCACATCAGCAGCTTCCTTGAATTTAGTTCCTGGATTCCTTCTGCTTGCCTCATCCTCATGATAAATTCCTCTTATGGGTCACATGTCCAATCCAGAAGGAAGGGTTTTTCTTTCAAGAGAGAATAAACTCCAATCTGAGCAATTTGAAGACCTTTGTCTGGAGTCTGGAAATGCCAGACTGAGTGCTTGGGGTACTTGCACAGAAATTTCAGCTGCTACTAGGAGAGATTAAGTGGTAACAGAACTGAGTCAGCGAGATGGGTTCTTCCTTCGCCCCCTTTCCTCCGGATTTTCATCAGCTTGCTTTACGTGTAGTTGAAAATTTATTGGGCAAGAAAGGTCAGAGTAGAACTCCAGTCAGAAACATACCCACAAAGCATTCCCCAACCTCTGGTACGTGGAAAGAAAATCCCAGGTTGTTTCCCCATTTAAAGGGAGCATTACAGAAGACTGAAACTGGATATCCTGTGTACTTCCCTCCAGAGAAGTGGGACTCTCAGTTCAGCTCATTCATTCACATTATAAAGCACGATCATCCTCCAGGCCCTTTGCCAAGGGTTAGAGACACAAAGAGAAACCAGGGCTGGCCTCTGCCTCCTTGCTTAGGCGGAGAGGAAAACAAATAAGCATTTGTAAGACAAGATGGTAAACTGAAGCTCAGAGCACAACAGGGCCCCCAACAAAGAATGAGGTGGGGGAGAAGGATCAAGAGACTACACCCCAGTTAGCTGTTTGCTGCCAGGCCTATGCTCTATTCTCTTATCCCATGTGACCAGTGTTACCCTTTTGACAAGTGACAGGAAACAAAGCTGTCCCCAGGACAAAAGTAATCTCTGGGCTGTGATTAAATAAACCACCCATAGCTGGCCATGCAGCCTAGATTGTAGAGCAGAGCATGAAATTCTTTGTGTTATGATAAATGGTGTGCACAGCTTTTCAAACTCAGTGTGCACACAAATCATCTAGCAATCTTGTTGAAATGCAGGTTCTGATTCAGTTGGTCCAGAACTGGCCTGAAACTTGCCTTTATAACAGAAAAGCAAATGCTTCAGAAAAAGCTTGTGCTGCTAGGATGGGGCTCCATACTTTGAAGAGCATTTTGAATAAAAATGTTTGTGGTCAGCACCTTCAGCTATCTCACTGGGTAGCACTGCAAGAGGGGAAAAAATGCTGCTGTAGCCACCCATGAGAATGATCCAGCATCAGGCAACGTGAGTCTCTTCAAAGTAGGGCCAGATCCACTAAAATAGGGCCAAGGCCCTCAAACCAAGTGGGTGACTGATGCAAGGCCACAGATGTAACTGTGAGGTCCAGGAACGGAAGAACAATCATGAAGGAAATGCTTTTGATAGGTTATTCACTAATTAAGATGAAAGGCTTGCTTTTTTTTTTTTAAAGGTGTATTTATTTATGCTTACAGAACTGGGACACAGGTCACAGGTGTGGTGGGTGAGAGGATTCACCAGAGACAGAGTGAGGAGCAGAACAGGCAGATCCACACTGCTGAGGGGAGCAGTGGGCGGGTCAGGAGAGGTCTTCCACACCATGTGTGTCAGCAACCTGGCCGGAGATCAAACTCTTGCTGCAATGGCTTCAGAGAGCTTCATGATGCGGTGCTTTAACCTGTTGTGCCACCAGGGAAAGGCTGGTTTTTTAAGTGAACTTATTAGTAGTACCTTTATAAAGGGTTCCCCTGACGTGTGACCTGGCCCAGACTTGGAGAGTGGATAGAAGAAGCTACTCCCCTGTGACAAAGTCCCCTCTCTCCTTACAGGAACAGGAGAAACTTTTACAAGCAGTAAGCTAAAGTATATCAGTGAAAAGTTTAAGAATAACTTCCCCTTAAATGTTGCATCATCTCATATCTTTTTAAATCTTATTGTGTATAAACTATGGAAAACACTCAAAGGTAATTTAAAAAAAACTTAAGTTGCTGTATTTTCATTTTGTACAATATATCCAAAACGGGATTTAACTGATTCATCATATATAAGGGCTATTAGAAGATATTTATATCATTTTATATCATTTAAATCATTTTAATTATAACTGTTAATAATCATTTATAATTTTATAAAATGTGCATATAGTGCTTACTACATGCCAGAGACTATTCTAAGTGGTTTACAAAGAGTAACTCCTGTAATCCTCACACCACCCTGTGAGACAGACACTAATATTATTTTCAGGGCAAAGTTAAGAAACTCCACTTGGGAGGGAGTTACAGTCAGTCAATGGCAGCACCAGGGCCCTCCCTTGAGTGGCAACTGGTTATGAACCCCAGCACTGCAAGCTAGTTGAAGCTGCTTCAATGCAAGTTCAATCCCCAGCCCCAAAGGTGACTCACATGGCGTGGCAGACCTCTCCCGTCTCTCCCGCTGCTCCCCTCAGCAGTGTACTTCATTGCTCTGCCTGTCCTGCTCCCCACTCTGTCTCTGGTGAAGCCTCTCACCGCCCCTGAGCCTCTGGCCTGTGCCCCAGTTCTGTATGCATAAGTAAATCTTTAAAAAAAAAAAATGGCAGCACTAGCTTAGTAAGCCTCCCATGCACAGCCTGAGGTACAAAGTAGCTTCCAAGCAGGCCTTGGGAATTCCCACTATGGAAAATAATTTCAGGTCACCAGTCCTGAATCTGATTCTTACACATGCCCCGTGGCTGAGTCTACCAAAATTGGGTAACTGTTACAAAGGATGGTTTGACTTTCAGATGTATCATATTAATGGAAAAGCATCTCACAGAAGCTAGTTACATAGAGAATTCCACATGTAAGACCTTAGGAAACTCCAGCAAGCTGAATGATGATGTGGGACTCGGCAGATCTGGGCCAGAATCCTGAACTGTGTCCTCTGTTTAGTGTCAAGTTTCATATGGTGCTAAATAAAAGGAAGTGAGGCATGTCTCTCCTTCCAGGAGTTTCCAGTCGTGTGGTCTATGCTTGCTTATGATTGAGGCTAGGTTGGCCCAAAACCACCACATTAAACATTTCGGTCATACTTT